CTTCCTTCTGATAGCTGTATAATACTCCACTGTGTGGATGTACCATAGTTTATTCAACTATTCCCTACTGATGCACATTGGTATTATATCTTAGTCTTATTTGCTGTTATGAATAATGCCATGAAAAACAACCTTGTGCATATAGAATTTTGTATTTTTCCAGTACACTGTTGAATTAGATTAAAAGAGATGGCTTTGCTGAGACAAAGGATCAAATGTGTATGTAACTTTTCTCTATATTGCTAAATTCCACATTGTAGAAGTTGTGCTATTCTGCATTTACACCAGCAAGGTATAAGAACAGTATGGAAGTTCCCCAAAGCACTAATCATTAAAGAAAAATATTGACAAATTCAACTACATAAAAATAAATAAATCAACCATAACAGAACTCAGGGAAATGCCAATTAAGAAGAAAATACTAAAAGAAAACTGCCATATTGGCAAAAAATTAAAAAGAATGTCAATATCACATATCAGTAAGATTGTAAAGCAAATGAAACCCTCAGACATTGCTGGTAGGAATGTGCAACCACATTGCAAACCACTATGACATTATTTACTAATGTGCAATATATGCTCATAACATGACCCATTAATTCTACTCCTACATATTTACACTAGGAAAATTTGGGTATATGGTACCAGGGTACAACAATAACAATGGTTAGATCACTGGTATATATATAATGGCCTGAAACTAGCAAAAATACAAGTGTCGATTTAAGAAGAATCAGCTATTAAATTGTAGTAAGATTATATAATGAAATACTACATTCCAATGAAAGTGAACATGAAGGGGGTGAAAATGGGAGATATCTGTAATACTATCAACAATAAAAATATATACTTTAAAAAAGTGAACAAATTTTAGCTACATATGATTAAGTAGATGAAATACCCTAATGTATACACTCAAAAATATATATATTTATACAGTGACTATTATGATCCAGGAATTATTCTAGCTTTTTGAGATACATCCATAAATAAAACAAAGATTTCTGCCTTCAGAGAGTTAAGTAAATTATATTAGAAGGCTATGGGGGGAGGTTATGAGGGGTTTGAAAAAGAAAAAAAATACAGCAGTATAAGGGATGATAGAAAATGCAAAGAGATGGTGGTATTGGTGGTTGCAATTTTAATATTGGACTGGGTTGGTCTCATTGAGAGGGTAACATTTAAGAGGAGACAATGAAAGTGAGGGAAGCAACATGCTGATATTAAAGTGAGGGTCCCAAGTATGTCTCAAAATGTTAAAAAGTCTGAAATCATACAATGTGTTTTTCTAACCACAAATGTCACATTTAGAGATCCACTACTGGAAGAAATCTGGGAAGACACAAATATTTGAAAATTAGACTACACATCTCAAAATAACCCATAGGTCAAAGAATTCACAAAGGAATTTAAAAATATTTTGTATTAAATGAAAATGAAAACACAACATACCCAAATTTATGGATGTAGCTAAACACAGAGAGAAATCTGTAGCTTTATACATATATATATATATAAATGACAAGTTCTAAACTGGCAGCAGTATAAGTGGAAGCTACACTGACTCTCCCAGGACCAAACTGGAAATACAACTAAAATACAGAATAACCAGTCTGAAAAATCAGACTAGCTGGAGAGAACCTGATAACCAAGGATGGAAAGTGGAGGCCACATAGAGACTGGTAGGAAGTGTGGAGGTGTGAAAGGGCTGGATGGGCTCTCGCAGACAGCAGATGAAGATATTCAGTTGTGGGGGGGTTCCCACTGGGAACTCTGGGGTCTAAACCCCAAACTGGGCTCCCCAAAACAGTGCTCACAGAACATCTGACTGTGAAAAGCAGCAGGGTTGCTATTTGCCAGTGAGAGAGGGCTAGACATGCAGGAACCCTGTTAAAGGGCCAACACACAAAATTTTGTGTGCAGCCACTCACCTTGGGTTCTGGTGAAGGAGGGCAGAGTGGACTGCAGCTGTGTGAGCAGAAGCCAGGACTGGGGACTCTGGGGATGGAGCTCTGAGGCAGCCACCCTGATTTCCTATGCTCAGTCATTCCCTTAGGCTGTGGAGGAAATCTTTCTCCTAAAGCAGTGATGGCGAACCTTTTGAGCTTGGCGTGTCAGCATTTTGAAAAACCCTAACTTAACTCTGGTGCCGTGTCACATATAGAAATTTTTTGATATTTGTAACCATAGTAAAACAAAGATTTATCTTTTTGATATTTATTTTATATATTTAAATGCCATTTAACAAAGAAAAATCAACCAAAAATATGAGTTCGCGTGTCACCTCTGACATGCGTGTCATAGGTTC